GTCGGCCGCTTCCACGGTCCGAGCGACTATCTCGCTCGCCATTCTGCCCCTCTCTTTCCCTCTCCCTCGATTTCTCTCTCCCCGTTTCTAACCCGGTTACTCGTTCTCGCTCTCTCCCCCTGGCTCTCTCTATTTTTTCATCCCCCAGAAGGATGAGCCTGGACGGGGTGGAGCCACCCACGCCCACGCAAGCCGGCTCTAGGCCTACCCCAACGTAACTCCCAGTGCGTATACCTACCCTTTAGGCTGGCAGCCATCCCCAGATGCAGGCGACGCGTAGGGGGCGTGTACGTGCCCTTGCCGCGGCAGGCCTAGCTGCGAACAGGTTTGCCAGTCCTGGCTGCTAGCCACCGAGCACGTGCACGTTTTCACGAACACGGGATGGAGGGAGCTGCACGCTTCCGTTGCTTAAGGGGCCAGGGCGGGGGGAACATTTCGATGCCGAGGGTGGAAAAAGCCATCGTCCTCGACAAATACCGGGGAGGGAGGACGAACGTCCGCGATCTTCGAAACGCGATCTCCGCGAATCCTGATCCTTCTTTCTCGAAATTTCCTTCTCCCTTTAACTGACCGTCGGTGGTGTCCAACACACCCCCTTGGCAGTATTTAAGCGATTCCCCTGATTGGTGTGTACAATTACTGGTACGGGGATTACGATGGATCGCGATACCGCCAATTTATACATGCGCGTAAAATGCGTCGAAAAATGGACTGATCAACTGGAAAAATTAGTAGAGTGGAAAAGTAGTGACGTTGCAGATATGGTTTATTTCAATTTACCTCGACATTTACGATTATTTGTGCCGTTTCTTTCTGACGAGTAATCTTATGGATGCGAGTAATTTGTTTTTTGCCAAGTCGTTCTTAATCATCTCGAATAATGCAACTGCAGGTTTATAGAAAATGGAGTTGATCAATTTGATTTCTCAGACGTTGATATAATAGAGTACGTTATTCGAGTAATCCTTGTCAAGCGACAAATATAGTTTTTTTTTTTCTTTTGCATGCTACTGCGATGTGGTCGCGCTATGTCGCCGAGATCCACTTTCTTCTCGCTAAATGGTAAAGTCACCCATAAAAAATTTACGCGTACGATCTACGATACGAAATTTATACGCTGTTGTACGTGTTACAGCATTCGCTATTTAATTAGATCCAAGTATACAGTAGGTGTATTAAATTTCGTCTCATTTGGTAATACATTTAAATCACTGCAAAAAGTTGATACTATAGAAGTGAAATATGGAACCTGATTTAAAAAGACAACTGTACGTACAAATACCATTTCTTGTGGCATCGCTCAAAGCTCGGTCATAGCAATAACAGTTCCAACTATCTTACCGATACGTATCTACTTTTACTTTTACTTTTACGAGTTTCGTGCATCGCGTCGACGTCCAAAGAAATCGAGCGATAAAAGATGAGAACTGGAAACGAAGAAAAGAACGAGGAAGACAGACAGCAGAGTCGAAGAGGTTACCGATTGGCGCATCGTTTGCATTCCATCCCGATCTGGCAACGATGCGTCATCGTCGTATCGTCCTCGTTCTTCGTTTCGATATCTCGATCATTGCTCGCGCATCGGTATTAAACTAAACGGACGCTGTTCGATTTATCGGAACGCGTGAATCCGAAAGATACGATCGCATTCACAGCTCGCGACTGTTCTGGTTCGGAAGATCGACCTTCACAGGATAGCCCGCAAGTGTGGAGCGGACCGTTTTGCTGCACGTTTTCTTCGCGGCCTTTCCTGCCCTCTCGCTTCCCCTCGCCGATCCACGTTGTCCACTGGCCGATCCACGATGCACGTTGCACTCCTCGATCGGTTTGTTCTTCTCCGTTATAAACGAAAGGCCGTGGCCGACTGAAACACACCGTGGAGCAGGTGCCAACCGGTTCGAGAAACGTCCATCTCGTTTATATGACTGCCATCGTAGTAACCCTTTATCCCTCCTTGCCTCGTGTATCGAGCTTCGAGCGTCGGAATCTTAATCGACGCCCTTTTCGATCCTCACCCCTTAAGATTCACCTCCTTCTTCGAATATTTATTTTCGCCTCGTTTTCTACGAGCGAACGCGATTACAGCAGATCCCGAGGAATTACCAACGATCAAAGCGTCCATTTTTGGCGGAACAGTACGTTGATGGAAATTTCCGAATGCCGTGTAAATAATTCGAATAAAAAACAGTCTTAACAGTGAAATTAAAAATGGATTAATTCGGAAAGAACATCGAACAGGGGATGGTTAATCTGATTTAGGAGCGTTTGGTTAAAGCGAATAAACGGGCAAGCCAATTTTTTATCACCTAATGATTAATTAAATTTTAATCCGCTGCTCGCTCCTTCGATCGCGAGTTGCGTCCGTTCGTTATTCTCGCAGCGAATGGATCGAACGTCGACTACAAACGACAAAATTACTCCAAGAGACGGATGATCGATTTCGACACAGTGAATCCAGTTGAAAACGCGTGGAAAATTCAAAGGTTCGTCTCTCCAGCCCTCGACTAATAAAGTCTTCGGCCAGGAATAACGAGCGGGACGAATCGAAAGAGCCTGCTGGCAGATTACGCGAAAAGCCACTACGAACGGGTGCGTTCGAATCGACGACGAATCGACGACGAATCGACATCGAATCGGGGGCAATCGTACACAACGAGAGTAATTTTTGCGCGACGTAAACGGGCTTCTCACGTAACACATGCTCCGTACGCATGCAAGCACACGCGTAAGTACCTTCTTCTCCGGACGGCTCTTCTTTCTTATCCCTCCGCTGTCCTCTTCCGATCGCGCGCGCACAAACACACGCTCGCAAACGCGCGCTCGCTCACACATACACACACACGCACGCACACACGCACACCGTACGGACTCTTTCTCTCTATCCTCCTGCACTACGTACCCCTTCCGCCCTCAGCAGCGCACACACACGTCCCTCCCTCTGTTCTGTGTTCGATGATCATCGTCCCTGCTGCACCGTGCGTAACAGAGTAACGCCGCCAATAGAAGATCGTCGCTCGTGCGACGAGGAAGCAGGATAATCCAGCAGGAAGAATAAAGAGGGCCAGATGGTGGGCATGTCGCGTGAAAGAAGGACGAGGGTAGCCGTTATTTTTATAGCGTTACGGTAGGTTAGAGTCGCGTCCAACCAACGTTTCAGGCCCAACCTAACCCTGCCTGGTCAGGGCTCCATACGCGTCTCTCCCTCTCCTCTGCCCTCGCCTTCTCCTCGCCGCTCTTCTCTTTTTCTCCTCTCCTCTCCAACAGTTCCTCTCCCCATCGCTCACCTGTCTCTCGATCTCCGTTGTTCTCGTCTTTATCGGAGGAACAGTGCCGGTCTCGCTCCCACCCGCAAGGCTGCGCGCATTTATAATGCACGCAAAATTTCATGCAGAGCCGCTTCGGCTGCCTTCCAATCCTTTGATAACACGCTTCTGCGTGCATACACGCGGTCCTCTCTGTTTCTCTGTGTGAGCACACGTGTAACCGCTACGGGACGGAAAGAGAGGGTCGCGGACGATCGCTTCGCGGAACCTACCTGCATCTATGGTTATGCGCGCGCTCTCGCGCGTCTATATTTAAAAGCGCCGCATGTTTTCTCTTCTCTTCTCTACTCTTCTCTTCTCTTCTCTTCTCTTCTCTTCTCTTCTCTTCTCTTCTCTTCGGTTCGTGTCTCTATCGTTCTTCTCTTCATTTCTCCGCGTGTCTCTGTTTTCTTCTCTCTTTCCTCTTTATCGCGTCGTCTCTGGTGTGTGTCACTTGGTCGTTCTTGGTCGATCCCTCTGTTCCCTCCTCGTCAGCACACCCAGGCCCCGTCGATCCTCGCCCCGACGCTATTTCTCCCCCTACCTCGTTGGGGAAACGCGCGACAACTTCCGGTGGCCGACCAGCACGCTTTCACGATCGAGATGCGTCTCTCAAGCGACTTCTCGAAAAAATATCCCTCTCGCGCTGACACGACCGCCTGTGTACTTACTCGCATCGATATACGGCTTTCCTTCTCTTCTTCTCTCTCCCCCTCGCGTTTTTCTCTTTGCATCCGTCCTTCTTTCCCCTTTTGCTTTACGTGTTCCCGCGCTGGACCACCGAGCTCTCTATCGGCCGTTTTGCGATCTTTCGATCTTTTTATAGGCAACAAACGACAAGTTAGCCGCGCTCCACGCGGTAAACAGGACACGTTGGGATTCGAACACGCTGCTTCCCCGTCTACTTTCAGATTTTTATCGATTCGTCCGATAGTTTCGGTTGATTTCCCTTCTGAATTCCACCATTGTTCCATACTATATGGTTTTTCGGCAACGTGGAAGCGTCTCTGGGTTTCGGCTATCTCGCAATTGATTCTGGCATGGCGAAACGCCAAACGGGTCTGCTCGGTGGAACCTTAAACAAAATTCCAGCGGCGGGTCAATCTTCGCTCGCTCGAACGTAAATATTCCGGAAGAACCGCGAATCGATAGCAAGCTATCCCCCAGGTTCGTCTACGTCTTTATTCGCGGTGCTGCCGACAAATGGAATTTGCGCTTCCTTTTCAATGGGATGTGGAAGCCGTAACATCATTTTACGTTACATCTTGTCTCATAGGAGATCGAAAACGGCACGCGAGGTGTCGTGGTTCATCCGCGCGATGCATTTTCCGGTCTTCAACCTACATGCGACTTTTTACGACCGCTACTCTTTATTCGTCTAACTCATGTCCGAGCGTTTCGATTCCACCACTACTCTGTAATTTTCGCTGCACGAACGAAATCCTGCCGCGTGCTGCTTTATAATCGTCGCGAGAATCTGACGAGATGAGGGGAGGCGTCTCGAATTTCGGAGCTTTGACAATGAAAGATCTTTGGCGGAGAAGCGACGTCCGCGCGTCATCCCTCGGCTGTAATCGAAACTGAGCGCGAACAGACTGACTGGTACGCACCCTTTCTCCTTTCTCGGAATACCAGACGAACGCCGCAGTGTAGAAGACGCGAGTTAATTAAGCGAAATGCTCCCTTAACGCGATTAACAGTGTAAGGGGGTTTTAATTATTGCAGGCATACTTCTTCGCCACGAAAATCGCAGCTGCTTTCGATGACAAGGCCGCAACGCGATAGAAAGGGAAGATCGCGAGTCCGTTCAGCAGGGTTGACGGTAATAGGGAGACTCACCATCCCTAAATTGCTCGCTCCTCAATTATTCAGCGCCGTTTCTCCTACCACGAACGTCGTCTCTCTTTTCCTGTCTTTCTTGCCCCCGTTTCTCGTTTTCCACCGGATTCCGTTCTTCCTTTCCCTTCACCTCGACCACTCTGTCTCGGCTCGTTTCTCTCAGCCACGCCGTTTCTCTCTTTCTCTGTCAACTCCTCTTCTGCCGGAATTGAAGTACCACCTACCCAATGGCCTACCTCCATTATGCATCG